CTTTCCCCCATCAATATGTTGCGTTTTCTTTCCTTCTACGATGATCTGGGCACACCGCCCACATGGCGTCCGCACTCGTGCAAAAAAAATCTTGCGCCAGTGACTAAATATGGCTTGGATGATCTCGTCCTTGCCAATCAAAAGTGGCCATTTTGATTGGCCGATCAGAACAGCCGCCCACGCCCAAAAGCATTTTGCTTTTCGTAGCGAATTCAGGCCCTTAGGTGTTTTGCAGCTCGTCAATTTCACCTGTCTCACTCTAGTACAGAGGATACACTGCCCAATTGGCTTGGAGGTCTTTGGTTGTGTTTGTTTTTGGGTTTGTGTTTGGGTTTTGGTTGTGTTCTGGTCTTCCCCCACCAACTTGCAGTGTTTCCAACTTCTCATGATGACCTGGGCACTCCGCCCACACGGCGTCCGCCCTCGTGGAAAAAAAAGCCGGATTTTTTTTGGCAGGGTGTTCGCCGCGTGATGGCGCAGGTTGGCAGCAGAAGCTTTTGATTTAGATATTCCTGTTTCAGGTGAGTTTTTGCTGGAGGTTTTGGTTTCTTTGAAAGGGGGTGGTAGTGCTAAAGCTAGCGCGCCGCCGGATGTTGCTTTGCTTGTTGAGGAAGAACAATGGGGCACCGTTGGCCCATAGTAGGTTTCGGACTGCTTTAGGCCCGATAGCGTGGATGACACAGACCAGACAGGACCTTCGAGCGTGCGTTTTCGATTCTCGCATGTCAGCAATGTTGTCCCACAAACCATACGGAACAAGGGTTGCGAAGTCTCTTGAGATTCCTCCAAAATGACATGTTGGTTGCAGTTAGGTCACCTGCGGAGACTTCAGTTATGGTTCAAGATAGGTTTTTCAAGGACGAGCCACACCTGGTGTGCAATTCAGATGCCTCACATGCACCTCTTAGAACTACTGAGAGATGTCGACGCTTGGGAAGGTATGTGCTAGGGTTTTGAGGCCGTCGCGGATTCCGAGAGTTCCTTGAAGTTATTCAAAAACATGGACATTCCTAAGAGATCCCGTCATCTTGAGATCCGCATTGAATGGTTGAAGGGTCGTGTTGCTGAAAAGAAACTGGTTCTTGGGTTCCAAAGGGGGCAAACGAATCCTAGTGACATGCTAACTAAGTGTCTGGGTGTTCTTTGTTTGGCATCCATCGGGAAGCGCTTGGGTTTGAACTCTGTTGATTTTGACGGATCTTGGAAAGAGATGTCTCTTTGTCGAGGTGTGCTGTCGACAGGATAGCATGATTTCGCAAGTTTGCCGAGAGGTTGGAATGTCATACTGTGGTGTGACAAGTGCGATGGAGAAGGAGAAGACCTTTGTGGGACTTCAGGAACAGATCGGACAGTTGAAGCCACTGAAAATGTTTGCGCGCGTTTCCAGTCCGTGTTCGAGTGGATCGCCACTTCGAAACTTCAGCGGTTCAGTGTGTGACTCAGATTGGCAATGGTTTGAGATGTTCCCCAAAGTGTTGAAATACCTGAAGCTAGGTGATGAGAGTAGCTTTGAACTACCATGGTATAATCGTATTTAGACATATGGTTTGTCGAAGAGAACACTGAAAGAAGCAAAGCATGCTTTTGACACGCCTGTTCGTTTGTGCCAAACGGGACTTGCGAGTTCAAACGGAAAGCCAGTGGGTAAGACTTTGTGTTTTACGTCAAGACTTTGTGTTTTACGTCAACTTCTAAGAAGTTTACGGAGAAGATGTTTCGTTCTTTTGGGATTTGTAAGTGTCATGTTCATGCGGCTTTTCAAGAAACAGATTGGGCACAGACAGCTTTTATAATAAGAAGCTCGCGAGGGCAATAGTGCTAGGAGCGCAGGAGGCGTTGGAGCACGTGTAAGTATGTTTGATCGCGTCTTGTGTTCATCCTCCAGTAGGGAGGTATTCGCAGGAGAGTAAAGCTGAAGGCTTTGACTTGGACGCTTAACCCTCTTTGAGGGTTGTGGCTCTTGTTTCTTTGAACAAGCGAACTCAACCGAAGGCACTGAGAGTACTTTCGCTCGCTTGCTGCTGAAGTAGCTTCGAGGTTGAGTGTGAATTTCACTTCTATAGATTCGGATTTGCGCCGAGCCACGGTTGGTCTTTCTCCAGAAGAAGAACGCCAGCTGAATGAGTTGCTAATAAAACGTGAGCAGAGCCAAGGGCTTGTCTTGCCAAAGGCAAAGGCCAGTGTGAGTAAAGCTGGTGGAAGCATGTCGGATGCCTCGAAGAGACAGCGTGATGTGCGCAGGATGAGTTTTCGGATGCCTCATTTGAACATATGGAGAGCCCTCCATTTGCCACTGAGGGTCAGGTGAATGCTTTGATGCCAGAGGGAGAAGATGGGGAAAGGTGGTGATCACTATGCCTGCTACGAAGGACCGCAATATGACCTTTGCGGAAGCGGTTGAGATCGCGAAGAGTGAGAAGAAAGTCAAGAACTAGCTCAACTGGATTGTGGGTAAATTCGGAGATGAGGCTTGCTCAAGCCCAAAGAGTCAGGGTGTGGACCTGGCTATGTATCTCAAGGCTCGTGGATGGACCTCCTCAGGAGGAGGCTACCAGCGAACACACAAGAAGTGATCCTTTTCTCCAGCTGGATTTAGCTTGGCAGTGATTCTGTGCGGACTTTGGTCCGCTTTGGGTTGATCTGCGAAAGAAAGCTGGATTGAGTGGTCTTTGTGATTTTCTTTGATTTCCTTTTGGGAGACCGGCGAATTTGAGCTGGCAAGGATTCTGTTAGGACTTTGGTCCGCCTTGGGTTGAACTGCCAGGAAAGCCAGATTGTGTTCTTAGACTACATGTGAGTTGCCAGAAGACACTATGTTTTGGTAGCTGGCGTGTGGAAAGAGCTTAGCTATGAATAGTTTGTTGCAGTGGTTCTTTTGACAGCAGCTGCACTTGCCCCGTCGAAAGGGGGTGTGGAAGGTTTTCACTATGAGTGCGCCAGGGAAGTGCACAGGCTTGTTTGTATGTTTTGGGACTTCATTCCTTGAAGTTCATGCGCTTTGGAAGCGCGTGAGATCTGTTGGAGAAAGTTCGATTGCCTTTGAGGCATGCAGAGAATGTTTGAGAGCGTTTGAGGGTGCTTGGTGCGCGCTTGGATAGTGCACAGAGACAGCAAAAGTGTTTGAAGAACAGTTGTTTGAGTTTGAAAGTTTTTGATGCATCGAGAAGATGCACGAGACTGATAGGAGATCATTTGAAGGTGGTTTGGAGACCACCAAGTGTGTTTGTGATGCACATGTATGCACCTGAGTGCATGTGTGGAGAGATCTGCCTTCGCATCATCGAGGGATGATGCTCAGTTGTGGATGTATAGCTCACATGTGCTGCATATATGTCCGGGGAGGTTATATCTTTGGTTCTTGGTTGTGTCCCCCTGGTTTGGGTTTCTCCCGGGTGATAACAAAAGCCATCTCAAAGGAACACCCACGAGGTGCGTCCTAGGGTTCTCTCTCCTTTGAGAGGACCTTTGTGCTGAGAAAGATGGCGTCTGACGGGGGAAACACAAAGATGTGTTTCCTGGTTGAGTTTGGGAATCAATGACTTCCTTTGGATATTGATAGCAGTCACGGATGCCATAGGGTTGCTTGGACCCCACGGTTTTTGTCCGGAAGTTTTGGGTTGGAACTTTGAAGGTTCGTATGGAAGAGCTGTATAGTGATTTGTAAATTTTTCCATAGCTAACGAGGGTTAGCGGAATTGTCGTGAACCGGAAATCGAGTTTCCGTGTTTCCACTGCCACTAGATGGGTCAAGCTTCGTCTAGATGGAAAAATGTAAAGAACTGTAAAGTTAGCACAGCTATCTCTGAAAGATTGTGTGGACGTTACCTTGTTTGGTTTCGTGTTGGAACGAAAAGGTTGCTCGCGTGCGTCTGTGCTTTTGGAGTGCCAGGGTTAACGAAACCTCCTTTGGGTGGGTTCACTCGAAGTGATCGAGTTTCGCAGCTTCTTACACGTTTTTTCAAGCGACCCAACAAGTATCCAATTGCCTGCTTTTTTTCAGGGACCGTTTTGTATGCAATGCAGGTGTTTCTGCTGGCATCTTTCCCTGCTTGGTGCAAGCATTTCCTTGCTTGAAATGCCTGGCACTCACCAGTCTCACGCACGCAAGGACCGCCAATGGTGCTTGGATGATGCAATTTCCTTGTGTGTCAACTTCGTTGGAGCAGACAACTTGCGAACTTGTCTGTGGAAAGCTGACTTTCGTGGCAAATCATCCATGCCCAGGTTTTTCGTTTCACACTAAACTCGTAGCAAGGCAAGGTGATAAAATCCCACCATGAGATCCGCAAGATTTCTTGGATTTTCATTTGGTGGTTTTTTGTTGTGTTGTGTTTTTGGGGTTTCTTGTTGTCTGGTTTGTGCTCTTGCTTTGATACCCAAGAAATCTGCTGACCTTCGCATTCTTGCGATAACGGCAGCCCCACGCGTGCCAAAAAAAGGATGTGGCATCATTCTTCCAGTGTGTGGCGGACCGTGTGGGACATCACGGACGTAATTTCGCCACGCGGTCTACACACAACCATGCATGTCTGGCAATGGACCACAACTTAGTCATGGTCTGGCTCCAACCTTTGTGATGCATTGCTGCCCCAAAACATGTTACCACCCTCAGTTTCATTTCGTTTCCAACCCTTTCGTTAAAATGCTACTCCTACTGTGCTTTCGGGCCACCCTGTTTTTTGTGACGGTTTGGTGTCCAACCGGCAAATGAACAGTCAGAACCATGTCGCATGGCACCAGTTTCACCCTAACGGTGATGCCCAGATTTGCATACACTCGCCCGGTGTCAGCACAGCTTCAGGATTTTGGTCAAGAACCCAACAAATTTTCATGTATAGGATTGTCATGCACCTCCACACAGGTTCATGTTTAGTTTTTGTTGGTACTTTTCCACACAGAGTGACACAACGCATTATATTAATCATATGGCTTGAAAACATAACATAGCCGCAGACGTAAAAATTAATATTGAAACAACAAGACAGAGGTCATCACTTCGACTGAGCCAATACGTTTCGCAAAGGCCTTTCTTGTTGCCATGAGTTTATGGTGTCCGTGTCTGGATGGCATCAACGCACTTGTTTGTTTGTGGCAAATTTGTTTGCCGGTCAATCGCACAGGTCAGGGCGAGGGACAGTTGACATGATTGGATGTGGTTAGCAACGGAAAACATGACACGCGAAGTGCAAGCTTAGTGTTCAGTCGCCAATCGCCAAGGGGACAGCTGCCACGCTTGGTTGTGCCGCGTGCAGAAGGTGTGTCCAATTTGGGGCACGCACCGCCAAGACGACCAGCTGGATTCTCAATTCAGTTGCAGATGTTCTTTTTTAGTAATTAGATTTTGCACACTCATCTGTTTGGCCTTGGAAGAGGTATGTGTGTTATATGATATGTAGTATATAATGGTACTCCGAAACATGCAGCCGTCACTTTCTCCTACCTCGTTGATCTTGGAATGCTGTGTGCAATTCGCATGGTTCAGGTGAGGGATGTATCTGCAAACAGATCATCTAGGCAGTGGCAATTGATATGAATCTTAAGAAACCGGGCATTTGTTCGAGATGCACATTCAGATGTCATTCGACATACAGGCTCAAGTGTAGGCGTTCGTTGGCACTTGGAAGGCACCTGGCTAATTTGCTCCCTGCAGTTCTGTGGAGGTGCCATCCTTTAGTTCTGTGGTTCTGTCCCTGTGAGTCCTTTTGTTTGTTCAACTTTTCTGTTTACTCCCTTCTGTTTTCCGACAATTTTTGTATAGAGGGATATAAGTTGTAGTGAGAGCAAATGCAATGTAGGGTTTGTCTTAAATGAAGGGACCCCAACACATCGTGTTCTCAGTTTTGGACACAAGGATACTGGAAGCAGACTCTCCAAAGCCACTCCTTCCAGGAAGTCTGGAAGGTGGCTTCGTGCGTGCAGAGCACAAAGAGGGGCCGAAGAGCCGCGCAAGGTAAACATTTACAAGGACATTGTGCTCTTTCACCCGTGTTTGTTGTAATGTTGTGATGTCAACTCCATGAGCAAATGTTCAGACCTTGAAGAGTACAGTAACATTCGTACAACGATACACCCTCCGCCCCCCATCAATCAACCAGGGAGGTTCAGGGAGCCCGCTTTAGCTTTGCACTGTTATTCACATGGAATCGCTGAGAATTTGATCCTTGTTGAACAGAACAAATCATTTCAAGCTAGCACTTGCGCAGTATAGTATATGTATTTACAGTTCATTAAACGTGTCCCAATGTTATGAAGCCTCCGTCATTGGGGGTAATCGACGGTTTAGGGCTCAGAGGCTCAGGGAAGCGAAAGTCTCTCTAGACTCTATATGCCAATGTTGTTTGCAGCGTATTTGAGATATTTTGAGATAGCCTCTGTCATCAGATCGTCAAATCTCATGTCAAAGTCTCTATGCCGCCCTCAAACAGCTTCAGTTCACAGTTATTTACAGGGAATGTAGCTACCTGTCGCCTCTTGAATCCATGCATTGTGCTGACGCTCCAATCTTCGCAGGATGTGCAGCCGGCTCAGCCGGAGCCGGCTCAACCCGCCCCAGGTGGTGCTGGGGCCTTGAAAGCGAGTCCAGGCAAACAACCGTAAGTGAAGAAAACACCCCACAAGAAGACTGAACTTTGTGCGTCTTTTTTCGCTGTTCTGCTGGGTCAGTTCTTGATCCACAGTAATATTGATACTGGCCTTTCAATCCCGGAGAGCTTGTAAAGGGACGACACGGTGAGGTGATCGAAGACGTGGTGTATGTTTTTGTCAACTCCAAGGAAGACAAGGTGGGTGCAATGGTCGACAATTGCCATGAGAATTTAATCATGACACTGTTTGTTTCTAGCAAGGAAGCACGCTACCTGCTTCATTGCTGCAGAGTCAGGCAACTCGACACCAGTTGCTGTAATAGATTTGCCAGGTCCATTCTGGTTTCAGGGGCATGCTTATCTACTAATCTACTGTAATATAGTGATATACTGTAGTGATTCAGAGTAGAAGCAGTTTGGACTGACAGATAAGCTCCCTACTAAGAGGAGTACTTAATCGCAACTTGTGGCCACATGGCCCGGAATACAGGCTGAAGCCATGTCTGACGATGTCCTTGATCGTGTGAACACTGTGACGAGGCCGGCTCAAGGCCTTGCTAGGTAGTCAAAGCATGCTTGACTTCTTGCTAAACAAATTGGGCAGCCTTCACGACCTCATTGAAAGCTTCAGATGAGCCTGATCCGACGGGATCCGCCTTGATCCTTCGCTTTGATCAGTTTATCGTGCTGAACGCATCCGTCCCGAGAGCCAGGGCCCATCAAGGCCTTTACAAGGTCCCAGAGGCGTGAATTGTGAGCATGGGACGGGTTGTAATCTAGAAAGCCATCGGTTGAACCATGACCTTTTGTTTCCAAGGGTACTTGGTACATGTTACATGGACATGGCCTACCATTGGTGACCACAATGCGCTCACGATGAACCAAAGGATATTCCCTGCAGTATGTATTGTCAGGGCCTATGCTTGCTTGTCTTGTGTGCATCTTGATGATTTGCCACTGAAGCTAACTATCATTATTCAGCAAGGTTGGTGTAGTCTCCTGACTTTGCTCAAGTGGTTTTCTGACTCGGTTTGCTCACTCTGTCATCATCCTTGGTGGACCTACCCTGGTGCAAACAGCCAATGTCGTGGCAGTGCAAACAAACTGTAAAGATTGTCATACTTATGCGTGCTTTGTCATCCATTGGGGATGCCAAACGAATATTGACATGAAGGCAAAATGACACAGTGCAAAGAAAGAAGTACCAAGCCACTTGGTGAACAGATCACTCACGTACTCTCGTATGTGGTTGGCCAGGGTGTACCTGATACAGAGCATGGTGTTGGTGCCATCACTGGTGCTCTCACATCTTTTCCTGCGGAGCACGTCTTCCAGGCCGGGACAAGACTAGACGACGGTTGGCCCGAGAGCGAGAAAGGTGATTGTCAAGCAATTCCGAGTAAGGAAATAGTTACAATCGAGTTGTCCAAGAGCCATGACTTCTTTATACAATCTGTTATTGAGTTAGAAGTTGCGAAGAAATTAGATTTAAACAATTAAGAGAAAAGATATGTAGAAAGAGAGAAAGAGAGGGCGGATGTGAAGGAGTGACAGTGTGGATGTGCAGGTGTGATATAGATGTGCAGATGTGTGGGTGTGTGGAGGTCGGATCTGCGGATGTGAGCGTGTGACGATGTAAATGTACAGAGGTGAGGGTGTGTAGACGTGGCCAGCAACGGCAACCGATCCCCGGCCACCAACACCCGATCCAGTTCTCCTGTGTGATCAGCCAAGGTCACGGTAGCCAAAATGGACGATTCTTCTTCGCGGATGGTGCTGCGCATGGCGCTTGCAATGTCCAGTGACCGGGTCAACCGTTGTCCCACACTTCTTGCACGGAACGTGCATTGGATCCCCCAGAATGCCCGTGACCCACACGCTAGAAGCAATCATATCATACAATACCGCCAATCATCCCGCTCACCAGCGACACGCCGCGTTTACACCAGCATGCTTCGCGCTCCCCAGTGGCACGGCGCCACGCAAACGCACTTCCCACCAAGGCCGCGCAAATCGGCGTAGGTATCAAGAAAAATGTATTTATCGAATCAAAAATAGTATTTACCGAATAAAAAAAGAAATATTTACTGAATTAATAAAAAATATTCGTTGTGCGATGAAATCCCTTGGAACTCCCAGTCGTGTAGGTGGCCGGTCCTCTGCTGGTCCGCTGGTCCCCTGCAGTCCGCTGGCCCACTGGTCCGCTAGTCCCTTGGTCCTCTGGTCTTTCGTTCCTGCGACTACGACTACGACTACGACTACTACTACCGTGACTGCGACTACGACTACCACTACGATACTGCTGCTATTATAGTACTGTTGCTACTCTTACTGCTACTGCTATTTGGAATATTCTTTTTGCGTCAGTAGTTATTTTTCTATTGATGCGTGTAGAATATTCACGTCGCTTCGCGACGGTAACCGCCCGCACCGCATGGAAGGGGCCAATATTTCCACCGAACATAGCCCCGGAAGTGCCCCCCCCCTCCCCAACGTGGCCGAGCATAGATTCCATGTTTCGAGATAGGGATTTAACATGGCCCAACGTGTCAGGCAATATGAAAGCTATGTTTGGCCACGTTAGGGGGTGTTTCTTATTCCAGTTTACGACGTTCAAGTCCCTATCTCGCAGACACTACCTTTAGATAGTGACTTCTAGGGCTATTATGTTAGGCTATCTTCACTCTATTCCAGTCCCTTTTGAGCCTTCGTTGGGCCATGTTTACGACGTTCAAGTTCCTGTCTCGGGGAAGCATACTTGAGATAGTGACTTCTGGGGTTATGTTCGA